AGGAAAAAAAAAAAAAAAAAAAAGAAGAAATGCTGAGTAATGCCAGAGGTTTCTCAAATGGCTGATGCAAACCTGGAGAATTTGCATCATCATTCAGCTGGAGTAACTTGGTATGACAAGAGCTTAAATACAAGTCCACGCGGAAGCTGAGCTCGTTCCCAATGATAGGGCAGTACCAGCTCGCAGCGTGGAAGCGCAGGTGTTCCTGAGCAGCGCTCGCATCGCACTCAAGGCTCAAATACACTTGAGGAACTTGCTACCTGAGTGCAGGAGCAGCTGGAACGATAAGAGAGGGCAGAGGAAGAGACTAAGTAGTTGGCTACGCAGAGAGGGGGGAAAAAAAACCCCTTGAGTTTCTGCTGCAAACTTTTTTTTGCCTGCGCTCGCCGTCGGCGTGCTGGTGGCACTGTAGCATGTTTAGGAAAGCTGCTGTAACCACCGTCTCTAATGGAAACTACTTGCAGGGGCAAGCTAATGGCAGGTTGCCCTCTATGGACGGCGGACAGCCAGCCCAGGGGGGAAAAGTTGTGCTGAAGAAGAAAGTGACACTTCTGAGGGGCATATCCATCATAATTGGAACTATCATTGGAGCTGGCATCTTCATCTCTCCCAAAGGCATCCTGAAGAACACGGGCAGCGTGGGCATGTCCTTGACTGTCTGGACGGCGTGTGGTATCCTCTCACTCTTCGGTAAGTCCCTCAAAAGTTTCTAATTGGTCCAGAGGGGCGGTCGGTGGATTATTGCTGTCGTTTGCCTGATTTTGCCATTGGATAGCAAGGCAGAGTGTGGAGCTTCAGGACCAATAGGGCTACAGAAGGTCTTCGCTGCGTGATAGGTTGCATGGAGGGCGCAGAGGTATGCAACCCCTGTCCCTTTGGCACCTGGTTGGAAAAGATTGGAAGCATAAATTATTGTTTCTCGTGGGTCCCTAAAGGAACGGGGAAAGTAAATGTCCTTTTTATGCCATACAATGTGCTGTATGCATCATGTTTTCCTTCTGGCCGTAAGAGGTAGTTTACGGTTTGCTTGTAAGGCCCCCGGCAGCCCGGGACGTGTGTCGCTTTGCTCCAACACCGGCAAAATGTTTAGACAGCTCGACTTAGTTCCCTAGAGGCTAGACCGAGGTCTGAGAGGAATAATTCCTACTGGACATAAGCTGTATTGGCACGAAAGGGAGCAAAGTAATAACCCTAATAACCCCTCTCCCCAGTCCCGTATTACTGCTCTTTACTTTTTTCCTCGCTCACGATGTTGCCTTGAAAGATTAAGCTGCAAAAAAACACGGTGTGATGGAAACAAATTTGTACTGCGAGTTTTATTGCCGGTCTGCCTACCGTGACAGTTTTTACTAATTTTGTGTATTTTTGAAGAGTATTAAATTCTGAAGAATGGCAGTTTATTTGTTCTGTGCACAAAACCCCCATTCAGAGCGGAAAAGCCCACTCTGGCCTCGGCGGGACAGAGGGTCCATTGACCTACTTAATGAGTTAATCTCAAAGAAGCTGAAGAACTAACATGAATATTGGCTTTATTTAAAACAGAAATGACTTGTTTGCTGGCAGGAGGAAAAGAGGACAAACACGGACTAACACGTGTCTGCTTAAGAGGTGGAACATGCAAATGCCACCCTGTGTAAATTGGCTTTGAGCTTAAAAGAAACATAGACTGTTTACAGGCTAAGCCCACCCAAGCCAAACAGACAGCGCAAGCAAGTTAGGACCCGTTTTGGTCAAATGTTAAATGTCTTGGTACAGTGTGCAGCGTAATCTGTCGTGCAAAAGTAGAAGTGCTGTCCATAACTAGAATTCCCTCATAAAAACAGACCACGGATACAATTTGTAACCCTGTCAGAAGACCTTGGTCTTTAGATTTGGTCAAAGCAGAATTTGCTTAAGCATTGCGTTTTTGGCTTTAACTTTAGTAGTAGTAATTTTCTGGCTGTGAAGCAAAGTCTGTACAAGAAAACTCCCCCAAAACCTCTTTTATCAGTTGGATTTTCTAGGTCATTTTCCAGATCTCAAGATATGAAGAACTGTGTAATTTGGCCCAGCAAAAGATACTATCTCTTTTTCCAAATGGACCTGTTACAGTTATTTTTTCATATTTTTTTTTATGCCATGGGTGTTTTTAATTCCCTGCATGACTTAATTATAGTAAAATCACATGCAAAGATCACTTAAGGTCTTCCTGAGGCCATGCGTATAACATGTATTGAAATGCAATTTCATTTCATCCTGAACCTCACCAGAAGAGGCTGGCAAGAGAAAACCCATCATTAGCTTTTTTTTTTTTTCTTTTTTTTTTCATGTGGCTGCAAGAATTCCTTTAAGTACGTTTTCAGGTAAGCTGAAGGATAACAGAGAAAAGCTGCTACGTTTTTGCAAAGCCCCAAACAAAGCCAGTGCACAGTGATGGAACTTGTCGTCATGTGTACAGCTTTGATGGGCCTTGTGCGTGTTATGTGGTTTTGACAACTGCAGTTTTCATCTTAAAGGGTTGCAGCATAAAAGAATGCAGGGAACAGAGCCGAAATAAGTTCATATATGATGCTGATCTTAACTCTGTGTTTACAAACTTTATCGCTGTTTTCATCTGGCTGCTAAGGCTTTTCTAAAAGGGCTGCCTACGTTTATCAGAGGTGGTACACCGCTCTACCGACGCGGTCCACCCGTGGAGCTGCGAATCCGCTGGCTTTATGACTGGGTGATGGCTCGTTAACCGGCAGTAGCAGATGGTGCATGGGTGAAGAAGGCTTCATGCAGGTCCTCATAGTCGCAGCGTGCTGTTGCCTGCTCGGTAATGGCAGAGGCCACGCGATGTGCCGGCAGCAGCCTCAAGGAGCTCTCTGAGAGCTGCTACTTGATGGGAATGCCGCTAGCGCTTGCTCCAAAGGGGCCTGAACCACTTCTGCATGAACAGATGCAGCAACGTGATGAGGATTTGGGTTTTATGTTAGTCAGTGGAAACGCACCAAAGGACCAAGAGAGACTCCTGCTACGCAAACGTGAAGTTGTCTGTATTTAAGGCAACGCAGAAATGAACTGAGCTTTCATTGCATTAGCAGTACACAATAACGCTGCACCGTTGTTGAAAAGCCGGGGCTAAGCTATCCCCCAGATTTTGTATAGAAGATGTTGGGAGAACTATTAAGGAAGATTCTTAATCTGCAATTCCTTCTTCCAAATTTTGGCCAGTCGATGCCTTCGCCTGCGGCGGAGGAGGGGGAATGAAGTTGTTCCCCGGTTCTAAAGGGTTTTTGTTCAGAGGCTGAGCCAGGTTTCTTCAGGGCTGAAAGGAGCTGATCATCATTTGATAACAAGCGAATGTGTCAGAAGCTCTCCCTTGGCGGTGCAGTCAGGCTGGCTGGGGAGCCGGCGTAGCTGGCATGACACAGCGGTTTGCTGTCCCTTTTCACGAGAAACAGATGAGTCATGGAACGTGTTGATAGCAAACAGGTTCTTCAGTGGCTTTACACATAAATGTAACTGGATATATGTACAGTTTGGCTAACTGCAAGTCCAGCTGAATGAATTCAAACTTAAAAAATCGCTTGAAAAAAAATTCTTAAAATATATCAAAAGTAGTTGCGATACCACGGCAGCTCCATTGTTTAGCTTATAAATGTTTTGAAAGGTATTTCTGGATATCTCTCGTGATGCTACGGTTTAATTCTCACAGGTGCCCTCTGCTATGCTGAACTAGGAACATGCATTAAGAAATCTGGTGGTCACTACACCTATATCCTGGAGGCCTTTGGCCCATTACCTGCTTTTGTGAGAGTCTGGGTTGAATTGCTCATCATTCGGTAAGTCTATCGGGGCTTTTCTGTGTTTCTTTTCTGATAGCAATACTCTTTCCAGTCATAAAGAAAAATCTCCAACACATGATGGGCGAAACAAATCAAATATAACTTGATTAATGAGATGTGTTCTTTTAGTATGGTTGCTCCAGAGAATTTAACAATACTGTTTTGCTTGTCAGCCTTGAAACATTCAAGAAGACGTATGTGCATGTATGGAGGGGGAATGATTCTAAGACAACCACATGCCACACCTATATGTAGTGTAGTGGAAGAGGGAAGTCACCTTTACATTTTCTCAGTCTTGGCAACAGCTTTTGGAGCAGGTGGATACAGGAATAACTCCTGATGAAGCTACTGCCCAGTAGTTTTCAGATTTGGGGATACCATGTATTCTTTATATGTCAATACAGGTCCCCATTTTTTGTTTTTGTGGGGCGTTGAAGAACTTAAATCTTGATTACTATGAAAAGCACTGACTAGCCAAAGAAAGCAATATTAAGTCCTTGCGTATCTAAAATGTCCAAAGTATTGTTTTGGTGTGTAAGCCTGTGTCTCATGCAGCCCTTGATATTGCATAGATAAATTACAATATGAAGATGGCAAATCACTGAATCATGTAAAATAAATTTTCATAATGTAAATGAATCTCTGTAGCAAACTCAAATGCAGCCCTTTGAACTTTTAATTTATTTTGTTGGGTTTTTTTACAGGCTGAGGCTGGAGAGCTCATGACATGTAGAACAGGGCAACTCACTTATGCAAAACGACTTGAGGAATGCTGCATTCCCGCCTCAGGCTAGTTAGCACTCCTTTCCCCTCTCTTCCGCAATCAGCAAATTAGTCACAAAAGCTCAAGCCTCATTTCAAATCACAACTATGTTTACATAATATTGACAAGTTCTAGCATAGACCGTTGAGTTTAAAAGCACTGACAGTGCTGAGTCATTATGAATCCATAAATCCTTATCTTGTTTCCGGAGGAAATCATTGTGTATGTCAGATGGTCCCTTCCATCCTCCCCACCCATACGTAACCTTTGAGTTAACTGCATCATTTCCATCAAACGTGATGAAAGAGCACATGTCTCAACTGTATTCACTTTTTGCCAAAAAGGAAAACCAGACAGAGGAAACGGACCTGTGTTTTCATGGTGAGAAGCACAGTGCTGCGAACCTAACTTTACCATTGCACATCGCAGAATCAACAAAAGAAAGTAGTGTTAGGTATTCCCCTCTTAACCTGCACCTTACTGGGCGGGGGGACCTTATTAACCTGGGCACAAATACCCACGAGAACCCAGGCTTCAGAAATTCCTCTCCTTGCAAAATTTTTTTTTTTTTTTTACATATGACAGTGTCCCAGGAGTGTCATGAAAACACTCTTAGTCATCGTGATCTGCCCCACACCCAGAAAATAATCATCTTGCATGGGAAAGGAACATCAGTGGATTCTTTAATCATCAAATCTGAGAGGCAGCAAGGGAGGTGTACTTGTTATAACTTGCGATGATCAGAGCGGCGCTGCCGAAACTCTGTGTAGAGTTTTATATCTGACTCCTGCATTGGTAAACTAATTGGCTGCTGCTATCAAAGAAGTTGCGACCTAATGTGTGTGCAGGTTTTTTGTTTTTTTTTTTTTCAGTAGATGAAGTTGCACACACACTTCACGGCTAAGCCGTTTTTTCCTCTGACAGATTGCAGGATTATCACACCCACGGGCTGGTGGAGCAGCCGCAACCAAAATAATCATTTCCTGCTCTTGTATATCTTTTCAGCCACTATTTTACAGTCTAGGACACACTTAAACTCTGCCCACATACTGATTAAACCGTGCCAGCATCACCTGCTGTTTAGAAGTGCCTTTCACTGCGCTGCTCCTTATCCAGTACAAGTGGGAACTTCTTTCCTCCCCAAAAGTCAAGTTGTGGGTATATTACATAATTTTAAAAAGAAAAAAAAAAAAAAACTAAAAGGTCGTTTTCAAACAAGTGAAGACGACTGCGTGAATGCATTGTCTGTAGCGCTTAATGATGGTGGTTGCTAAACACAGGTTGGGTGAGAGTGCAGTGCCAAGTGACTCCGTCCCCTCTGGTATGTGCTGGGACACTATATCTGCTCCTTTCTCGGTGGCTTTTTTTTGCTCCTTGCCCTTCAACGAAAGCTGGTAAGGTGCTTTCTGTCCGCTCCTGAGCACGCAGCTGTTAGGGGGCTGCCAGCCTGTCTTTAGGATTGCGGTCAAAAGGAATTGACAAGCAATCAATCCCCCATTCCTTCAACTTCCACCTCCACAGATTGACTACGCTACCCGCCCTCAAACACGGCGATACGAGAGACGCAGCTATTTATTAGAGGTATCATTCAGGAGCTATGTTTTTAAAAACACAAGGATGTGGATAGCAGCAACTGCCTCTTTAAAAAGACCTTTCTTAAAATGAGAGGGGAAAAATCCAAGTTTTGGGAAAAGCAGCTGGGACTGAGGAAAAAATCCGGGAAAGCTCCGAAGATCTGATCTTTCATCTGATCTAGGACGCTTCAGACTACTTTTGGCAGGCTGCAGCGCTCAAAAGCCGGAAGCCTGGTGCTCATCTTCTGTAAATCAGAAATATTTCACTGAGGTAAAGTCAGTAAACGCCTGTGTAAATCCAGCACCAAGGACTTTTGGTCCCTGAGCGGAGGCAAAAGTTGCAAAGCCGATTCTTGGCCAGGGAAAGGCACAGTCCCCGTGTGTGGGGGACGCACAGGCAGCAGCCCTCGCTTGGCCACGCAGAGATTTTCCGAGGAAGATGCTTCTGTTCTTTGCTGCTCTGCAGTTTGCTCCAACACAACGTGTGACATTTGGGTTGAGTCATAGTGCTAAGAGAGTGGGGTTTGTGTCAAGGGTGAAACTCTCTTGTGGAAAATGCCCTTATTGTTCGCTGGAGAAGAATTACTTCTATGCAGAATTTTTGCACTGTTCCATAGCATTTTTAACAACTATAATTTTATTAAAATTCTGTAAGGTGAGGCACTGTTTATGAAATGCTGTAGATTTTTTTTTTTCCACAAGAAATTTTCTTGGACTCTTGTTTAACTCAAAAATTTGAAGCGGAATCATATGCCCTTTTGTCCTTATTGTGTGTGAGCGTGTGCTGAAGCCCAGATGCCACCAGCTGTTCTAGGAAGGGCGAAAGAGTCCTCCCGAACCAAACGTGAACGGACCGCTGGAACTGCAATACGCTGACAGTGTCTGCTCCAAAGCATAGGGTAATTTGCCGTTAATATGTGTCAGTGCTAAGGCTTCTGGCAAGCATTTAGATTGTCTCAAGGCTGTATGAATATTATAAGTATTTCATATTTGTAAATGCAACATCTGCACGCCTTCACCTTTCTCTGTTTCATGGTAGGTATTTTCTGTACTTGGAGGTTTTTTTGCCCTCACTTGCAGTGCTAGAAAGTTGTTAGTCAATAAAAGGAACAAATTCTGTTTGCGTTTTAGGAAATCTCATTTTCATTCATTTTTTGCATTGTCTCAGATGTTAGTAACAGACTTGGGTAACTTTCGGATACTTATTTCAGTAAAGCCGAATTTTCAGCTTAATTAAAATAATTTCCTTGTATCTCTGAGGGGTGAGATATACCTGGCCACCAAAATTCAGTCCTCAGTGACTTTTACTCAAGGTTTTGCCCATGTAATCTAATTCTGGCTACGTTCCCTTTAAGCGAGTGAATGAAGATTTGTATCGATACCGTTCCTTTCTGTTTACAGTTGCTCCACAACACAGAAGCTGTAGGACCAATCCTGGTAAGAAGTGATGCTGTCAAGATCAGAACCGCTGAGCAAAGCTAAGCTGCTCGTGGTTTCCTGCTGCCTTCAGAAATCACAGTACATGGCAGCATAGTTTCGAGCAGGCACCAAAATTAAGTGTGACTCACGAGTCTGTGACAGTAAAGTTACAGCATGATCCTGTATGAGTATTGTCTCTGTATTGTTGCAGATTAATTTCATGATTGTTGTTGTTGTTTTTACTCTAGCCCTGCTGCCACAGCAGTGATATCGTTGGCATTTGGACGCTATATTTTGGAACCTTTCTTTATGCAGTGTGAAATCCCAGAACTTGCGATTAAACTTATTACAGCTGTTGGCATCAGTAAGTATCTAACTTTAGGTGTTAGGGAAGGGTAATGATGATGTGAATTAAAAAAAGAAGAAAGTAATTGTACACTGAACAGGTAGTCGTTTGATGTGAATCATTCCAGAATGAGTATGCATCCAGTGCCAAGGGCACGAGCGTGACTTTTTGCCTGGGTATATGTGCTTGTGAACATACGCAGCAGTAAAAAAAAAAAAGCAGACTTTATTAATGGCAGGGAAAATCTATTGCCAAGGCTGATTCTGTTGCCACTTTAATTAATGGCAGAACTCTTGTTACTTTTGTGGAAGCAATTTCAGTCCCGACGAGATGGTGAGCCGGTGCCAGAGATACGGAGGAGTGATTTCCCGATTTTAAGTGCTTTGCTCTACCTCTGTTTTAGGAGGCAATCGAGTGCCAAGTATGATGCCATGAAGAAATGTAGTTCTCCAGAGTGGAACACAGGCAACATGAGATCATCTGCCCTGGTCCCACTCTGTCCTTCATAGCAATAAAACTTCCTGAGGCACTTGGGGTTCGGGAAGCGGGAACCCAACTGATGGCTTTGGGAGAGGAGTGTACAGCTTGATGCTTGTACAGCATGTCTGTCACCAGCACCTTGTCCTTCTCTTGCTACCTTTGCTATTAGTGTTAAAGGGATCGTTTAGAGCTACAGGGAACCAATAATTGCCAGTGGAAGGAGGGAGGTTACCCTGAGGTGGGGAGGAGCTGGGCTGGTATTGGGAGGTCGCATGCAACAGGAGGGCGGAAATCGTGATGCGAATGGGACTCTGGAGCCAAGTGCCCGTAGCGCGAGAGGCTTGGTTCCAGTTCTCTCTGGTCACTGGTGATGATGGTCCTTGCACACATTTGCGTTCAGCTGTGCTGGGAGGAGAGTGCAGGGTAGACCTGTGAGTAATTGGTAACAGGTTGTTCCTTTCAATTTGGTCAGTGCACGTATCAGAAACAAAAGGACCGGAAAAAAGGAATTAAGACATGCAAAATGATCAAAGGCGCACAGGAGACCCCTTCAGTTTTGCACAATAAGAGGATCAGATAACTTTTTCTTTCTTTGGGGTAGGGAGTTCAGTTGACATTGAAATTTCCAGTCTCCAGGTTACTGTGGCTTTTTATAGGAGGTCTCTTGATAAGAGTTCCCTTCTGCCAGGAGTGTTAAAAAAATCAGTATGTGACCGCATTTCTTTCTAACTTAATTATGCACAAACTATAGGTTTCATAGGAATAATTGAATTAAGGACTTGAATTTTGAGGTCAATGACTTTTTATAGCTACATCTGTCTAAAATATTTCAGTGCAAGGTAAGGGTGAAACAGATGTTCAGTACCTTCAAGGTCACTGAGACAGAAGGAACGTTAAGTGAGGATTCCATCAAAGCATTTTGTTAAGTGCATGTGATTCAAGCACAATAAGTGAACAATTTGAAATAGGTTTTTATTGCTTTTAATTTAATTGAAAATCTGTGTGATAAGCCAGGGCTTCGCAAAGTAATTAAACAAAGAAGTAGCATTGCGGGGGGGGGGGTGCGTGTGGAGTTACGCTGAAGTAATTACAGCCTAAAGGGAGAGAGGAGTTCACAGCAGACTGCTCCTATGGTGGGCACGGGTCTGTACAGTGCAGGTAGGATGAGCTCTCATTTACCCAAAGAACGGATTCTGGTAGAAAGTTTATAGTGGTGAATGGGGCAACGCTGAGGAAAACAGTGACGCGTCAGACTGAGGTTTTATCTTTATTCTTTGCAGTATGTTCTACAGCGGAGTTTCATTTGTAGTAGTTTTTGATCATATGCTACACTTAAGCTCAGGGATGCTGGAGTGCGTGACTGTTATTCTTGCATGGTAAAAATTAGCTGTTGCGGTAGTAATTTTTGTGAATGTTTTGTATTGTGCATGTAGGAAGGGTGATAGATAAGATTAAGGTTGTGTTGAGCTGAACAGAACAGACACATTGGAGCCCTGAAGATCTTATAATCCAGTTTAGTGGTGCCAAAGGTAGTGTTTGCTTCCACCGAAAATTTTAAGTTAATCAGAAAGTGAACTGATGTGCCTTTTGTCTTGTTGTCCAGTCCTGGTCCCTTCTCCCTCCTGTGACTGATGACAGAGTGCTCATCGCATATCTCTATTGCACGAGGGAAAGGTAGTGGGAAGCGCCATTAAATGCTGTCCTTGGGTGAGGCTTTGTTCTGTAGTTTTACCTTGTCATTTCTGATCATACTAGAAAGGGCAGGAAAAGATTTTGAAAAATCTCCAGGTTATCCCTTGCCCCCAAACACAATCAGCGTATCTAAACCATTTCTGACAGATGTTTGTCTAAACTGGTCTTAAAACCACCACTGAGGGAGATTCTGAAGCCTCACCTAATACTGTAGCCTGTTTTTTTTCTATCCTTGTCACAAGACAGCTTTTCTCATTATTTTTTTCCCCACCAAACCCTCCTTTTCTGAAATTTAAGCCTATTTTTAAAAGGTTGCCTGAGATGGAGGCAGCCAGGATTATGATGGGGAGTGGCAAATACTGCTGCTCCACTACCAACTGCAAACAAGTACTTCTTGTAGAGGGGCTACAACCCATTCTGCTCCCCACTATTCCACCTCAGTGTCTTTGCAGTGGAAAAGGAATGATGGTGCTGCAGAGTTGATATAGACCACGTGAGAGCTAAAATGGAACTACTGGAGATAGTGACCTTCAAAAAAACCCTCATTCTTGGTTTATTATTTATAGGAAAAAAATTCCGTGCTGGCCACAAAATTCCCCTCGAAATCACATCTGTTCTGAGCAATTTTGAACAATCTGTAGAAGCAAGTTTTCTGTTCCACGATACGGTGGTTTCTTTTTTTTTTTTTTTTTAAATAAAAACAACCAACCAAAAAGTCCAAACATTTCAATGACTTGGTAGAGAGATGTTTGTGTGGAGGTTCTCTTCAGATACCCCAGCTGTCTGAACCTCTGAAGTAAAGGCCACCTGTTCTTTTCAAACTTAGAAATCACTTTAATTCACTCAGTATTTCTCAAGCAAATCTCCGTGAGAAGAAAAACCTAGGCAAACACAAGATATGCATATCTCAGTCTGTCTGTTGGTCTGCCATATGCTTTTTCTGAACTCAGTCAATTTAACTGCACCTGAAAGAAGCGCAGACATCACAAAGATATCTAATTACTACAATTTTTATGAAAATAAGTGGCCAGGTAGAGGAGAGGTAACCTGGATGTGCCCCAACAGAGGGAAGGACAGCTAAAGAAAATGCAAACAGGAGATGAGGCCTTCTAGACGAGGGTGGTGATAGTGAAAAAAACCCTATACTCGTGTATTATTTTATTGGTATTTTAAAATTTTTCTCCTTCTCTTAAATACATTGGTAACAGGGAGGGATAAATTATACTGTACAAAGGTGTTGAATCGTGCTATCAATACATAACCTAAATAAATACGCAATCTTAACTGAGCCTGTTAATCTTTTCACTTGGCCTCCATATCAGAAAGCAGATAAACAGGTTTCAGCTATTAAAAGCTGTGAGACTGAAAGCAGGTTACCAATTCACACGTTTTCAAAATTTTTACACTCATTCACGGATATTTTGGGCATTTTTCCCTGCAATAACATAAAATTCCCCCTGCCTCCCCCCCCCCTTTTTTTTGAGGTCTGCCAAAACCCCTCAAATATCCCAGACTATGGCTGTTAGAGGCAATATTATGCTTGAAAATCAAGGTCCCCTGTACAGATCTATCAGTGCTTGCCGGCAAATACTCCAGCCAAAAGCTTTATTGGTGTAAATTTGGTGTGTATGTGAGTCTATAGTTAGTTGCTTTTTCTTTTTCCCCCCCCATCATGGCAGATGTTACAGACATTTCTCTTTACCGCTGACAGTTTTCAGACTAGGTTTAAATTAAGACATCTCTTGGCCTGTGGGGATAGCAAAAGCTGCTCTGATGGGTGCTTTTGTGCCTCCTGCAACTTCGTTTTAATTGATGCATTAGGATCTGCAAATGGAGGGTAGGTTTTTTTGTGTGTGCGAATGGCTTGACCTGACAAGTTAGGGGAGGGCAGGTTCCTTGGTTTTCTGCTGAGGCAATATACATATGTACATATATTCTTGAAAAGTAGGCCAGGATGTAATGCTTACTGCTGTTTCTCCCTTTAGGATTTCATTATCCATCTATAGCTGTGGCCGTGTGAAGGAAAGGGATTGTGAAAAGCAACACGACCGGTGTTACCGTTGTGTTTGATTGTTCACGAACCCCATTTTATTCTCCCTCCATACTCCCCTTGCTTAGGACTCATCTCGCTTTTAGTTAGGTGTTGAGTTTACGGTAATTG